CACGGTCCCAATTCCTTTAAAGAGAGGGTCCTGATGATTGAAATTGAGGAGGCTCGCGCCGTGGGCGGAACACCCCCCCAATGGGCCCTAAGTCCACGGTGCATGCCTCGCAGAATATCATCCTAGCCTACTATATTGTAATTGGATATATAGTATTACTGTAATATTGAGCTTTTATGGCTATAACAAATATGGGGAAGAAAAGTACAGCCTTAGCCTAATTAACGAAGATCAATTATCATCTTTAAAATCTTGGATATTAGAACTAGTTGATACCTACAATGATATAAGATATGAGTGATATGAGATAAGAGTGGACATTAGAAGCACAACATAGTTATAAGAGCTTAAGGGCCCGTTTGGGGCAGCTTATAATTGCGACGGCATTTTTGAAAATGCCGTCTAACTTTTTGGTTTGCACATTTTTGAAAACGCTGCTTGCCAAGTTTGAGTTTTTTACACTAAACGCAGACCGCGAGTCAACCCCCGAAGTCGACCCGCAGGCCGAGTTTTAGGATAAACTTCTTATCCTAAAGCGCACAAGCTGCCTCAAACAGACCCTAAAATTTCAATTATACATATGTATGTAACATACCCTAAAGTTCTTATGTATTTACATATCTGAGACATAATTTTTTAAATTTTTAGGCAGATAACACTCAAATTCTTAACATTAAAAAAAAAATAGCACCATCATTACTATTTAATAGTGAAATAAAGATGTCTTATGCATAAGCTTAAGCGGCAATTACAAACAAACGGCCGGAAACTTTCTATTTACAAATCAATCATCTTCTTTCATCATTTTGTTATGTTGTCTTTCAAATATCAAAATTTATGATAAAACCCCAACTCATATTTTTCATTTTTATCTAATTCTCAATAGTTTGATAAATACATTGCTTAGGTTGTTTCAAAAAATCAATTTGAAAATATCAATGTTTAGGATGTTCTGTATGTAATTATCCTTGTTACGCCAACAACAAATTTTCATCATCCGACACGAATCTTGAGACATGACACAGTTCCCAAGATGATATTTTGAGCAAGAAAAATTCAAATTTTGATAAAAAATCATCAAGAGCTCTGATTTCAACAAACTTATAGTCAAACTGGCCGGCTCGATTAGGCAGACCTAATGATATAAAAACTAGTCCAATCTGAGTCCAATCAAGCTCCGATCCAAATCAAGCTCAGATCAAGTCATTAAACCACCATTCAAAGATTTTTGGATACATTTAGAAGGTAAAACAAATGTCAATACTAGCAAGCCTATATTTGAATTGAGCGTCTCGACAAGACAAATCCAACGAGTCCAATATCACTCAATTACGATATTGTTAAGACACTCAAATATCCATTAAACGTTACTTGATCGAAGGAAACTCTCTGGAACTTTCGATAAAAATGGTTGATATTCCTGCATTAATTGCACTCAAAACAGTATAAATAGACCCCCACCCATCACATAAGAGGAAACTGAAGTATAGAGAGAGAGCTTGAGACTTTGAGGAGAAGCTGCAGCTCAACATCACCGTCGATCCTCGTCGACCACTGTTAACCTCTGTCGTCGACTACCGTCGATCACCATCGACCGCCGTAGACCTTTGCCAACCACCAGTTAAAGTTTGTGATCTGAAAAATATAGTTGCCCTTTTCCCATATGTGGGATAAGAGATTTTTGTAATTATCAATTCAATAGTAAATTTTCGCAACTGGGTCAGACTCATGATTTTTCCCTTTACGGTTTTTTCACGTAAAAACTTCTGGAGTCATCACAGCTTGTTTCTCTTTCATGTGTGTGTGTGCTGAACTTTCGTACAACGCCAAAACGATAGTTCGTTATTCTACGGTCGAGAATTTTTTTGCACGCATTAATCCTCAAGTTTAGATCACAAAATGCTATATAAATATGTAAACATGAAAGTTTTAAGATATGTAAATACATTAAAATCGTGTGCTATATATGTAAATTTTCCCAAAAAAAAAAAAAAAACAAAAAAACAAAATTCTTCCTTATTAGCCGGTATCCCTTTCCTCCATTCGAAAATAAACCATTTATCGCTGAGGAAGGCAGGAGGAGGATAACTCCGCGCTTCAGTGATTCTCCGTCAGGTTTTCTCAAATTTGATCCGTGGAAGAGATGAATCGTGATTCAAATCTCATCGATGAAGAAAATGTCAACCCATTCGCGGTAATCTCTTCCATCTTTTCCATCCCCCCTCGGTTTCTCTTGGCATTATTCTGAACAGTTAACAGCGGCGTTTCCATTCCTAATGGCGCCGCCGAGTGGGCATTGTGTTTAATAAATTAACCTAGTGGAGTGCGTAGATCCGCGGCAGGTAAAAATGGGTGTTTTTTGTTTTTTAATTTTAATGTGGGGTGATTGTGATTGTTTCGGCATTTCTGTTTCCGATCAGCTTTACTCGTTATTCCATAAAATGCGCGCTAAGGAGTTTAGCGATGACCTTTTTCGCTCATAGTTCAATTAAGCGTGTTTGATTTGGTGAGAGGGGAGCGCAATCCAGAAGAAATACATTGAAAGGTAAATGCAGTGTGTAACTGGTCAGTGGTGGTAGCCGGTGGCCAACAGGTTAGGGTGGCTGGCTGCGGGCGGCAATGGAGATGGCAGGACGGCGGCAGCAGATGGCTGGCTGTGGCAGAAGGGCTGCAGGCTGGTGGCGGCCAGTGACATAGGTGGTGGTCATGGTGGTTGTAGCGGCTGCAGTGCCCCATGGGAGCAGCCTCAATGCCCACAATTTGCATTGCATTTGTTAAATGCCTAAATCTGGTGAATTTGAAATACACTGAAAATGAACAGAAGATTGTATTTGAAATTTGTTGCAATTTTACATTATATTGCTTTGTTCTCAAACCAAACAATCAAAATTTTAAAAGCCCTACAGTTGAAATGTAATACCTCCCATTTGCAGTGAACCAAACAGCTCTTAAATGGTTTGAACATTTGTATTATTTTTTTAAACACAGAAATTAGTTTTGATTTGGAACTGTGATTTGATAGTGATGTTTGAATGCCCAATGTGGTATTGGTTTATGGTAATTTATTAAAACTAGTCTACAAATATATGCCTTTTTTCTGCTTTTTTTTAGGGTTGTAAGTGCGTAGAGTTAAGTTTAGTATTACACTTTTTAAGCACATTTATTTATTTTCTAATCGTGTTAAAGTTGAGTTGAATTGGATTAGAGTTTTAAATTCTTGTTCAAATTTAAACAATTCTTGGTTCAGCTTTTCCTCCACTGGTTCAACATCCTCAACCCTTAAGGCTGGGGTTTTCTTTACCTTAATTAGGATTAATAATAGGGTTATTTTTGCTTGAGACTAATAAATATGTTGTTTTAAACATGATTTTGAGCTTTTTGTTGATTTTATGTTATTAGTTAATTTCTTATGATATCCTTTTCTTTGAGTGCGGTAACATATTCTCTTAATTGGTGTGACTGTGACTTGATCTAGAACGAGCAGTGAATTTTCTTTGACATTCGTACTACATTAATATTGCACATATTATGATTTCTTATTTTTCTTCTGTCTGACAACAACTCTTAACTCATTTTTTCCCCCCAGTTTTTGCGGTCTCCTCATATTTTGTCTCTTTGCTATTCTACAAATCTCCACAACATTTATCCCACTTCTCTCAAACTATAGATTTTTTTTTTCCAAAATCCAAAATTTAAATCACACAACCTAATCAATGTACCTACACATATACCTAACCTCCACCCAAGACCCTACCTCTTCTCACGTTTGACCAAAACTGAAACCCCCCACTTTTACCTTAGTCGAAACCCTAGGTAGAGAAGATCTACTATGTCGCAAAGGAGAAATACTCAAATAGGTGTTCAAAATTTTACCATAAAAAATATGAAAAAAGAAATCCTCCAATAAAAATGGTCGCAAAATTTGAACAAAGACAAGATCGCAAAATTTGAACAAAGACAAGATGATGAGGTTATGCAAAGTTATAACATTTATGACCTTGTTGATGAAGTAGAAACCTTTTCATCAAGAAACCTCAAGTGATGATGAGTTGATGTTATGTCAATTATGTATTAAGTATAGGAAGAGAGGGTAACTTTAGAGTGAACGATGATTTACTCAATTTTCTTGGTTGTTTAGATCCATATCAATTTATTCACTGACTCCAAGCCCTGAAATATGTTTTGAGTAAAAAGATAGCTAAAGGAGAAGACCATAGCTCTGTAGATTGACGAATTGAGACCATGTATTGGCAATATGTCACAATTATAACTTTATTGGACCTTATATAATATACAAACCTTAGTTTTGAAGATAGAAACATAACACATTAGCATTATATCTACTCCACTTTTCAGATAGGGTTTGATCATGTGGTTGGGCAGCAAGAGTACACCAATTAGAGTGCCAAAACTTGTTCCAATTGAGAAGATAGCACAAGAAGGAGCAAAGATTGATCGAGCTTGTACACCCAATAAATTTTTTTAACTAGGTTGTGTTTCAAGTTTTATAGATATGGACTCATTGCATCTAACTACCTAAATAAGAGTGTTATTTTCATTGAGCAGGGTGCAGTGAAAAAGGAAAATAGTTAAGACTCTTAATATGAGAAGAATGAGGATCAATGCTAGCTTCCGGTACATGAAAGATAAATGCTTATAGTTTGATTATTTCTTTGAACCGAGTCTAAGAGAGAAATAGTGACTTAGGCATAACATCTTTATACTCGTTAGACTGTCGAGTAGAATGATTGTAGTTTCATTATAGATGAAAATAATTTTGAGAATATAGTATCTACATAGATGGTGAACCAATCGTGCTTCACTACCCAAAAGCATTCATGCCATATTTTCTGATTGTTGAAGAAAGGAAATGGGATCAATATTGACATGTGTCTAATTGAGTTTATTGTTGGAGATAAGTTATAGGAGTACATGAGGTAATGACGCTGTTTCTATGGATGCTTGTGACATACTATTGAGTTGATCGCAAAAATATGACGAGAGTATTTCATGATAGTCATAAAAATATTTACTTTTTTAATCATGATGAGAAGTCATTTTTTCCCTTGAAGAAATTGATTATGATGATTACTCAGATAGAGATGGGATTTTTAGTGTCTTGCACTATATTATTTGCAAGCTCATCAGGAGGACTAACATTGATGATGTTGACTTGAAGGGAGGTGAGATGGAAGAGTTCAAACCTGAGGTAGTGCAATCCCTATTGTAGGAGTTTCAAGATTTTTTGATGAAAGAATATTACATGAATTATCATTCTAGGAGAGATTCAACATGTGATAGATCACATTCCAATATTAGTGCTCATTAATTGACCAGCTTGAAGGATGTGACCAGTCGAGTATGAAGAATTGCTGGAGTTGGTTAATGATCTGATGGCTAGAGGATTAATTCATGAGTACTAGTTCATGCGTTGCTCCATCTTTAATTGTATCCAAGAAGAACAGATTGTGGCATATGTGCATTGATTTTAGGTTTGTGAATGAGATCACCATTAAGTATTGATTTTCTTATTCTATAATGGTATGATTTGTTACATCAACTGCATGGAGCTAGCTTTTTATCTAAGATAGATGTGCATACCACCAAATTCAAATGAAGCCTGAGGACTAGTGATAGGTTGTCTTCAACACATGGGATAGACTATATGAGTGGACAGTCATGCATTTTGGCTTGTCCGATATTTGGGCACCTTTATGAGGTTTATGAAATATTTTTGAGCTTTCGTCAGAAAATTTATGGTTGTGTACTTTGATGATATTTGTTGTATCGTCGTTCTGTAGAAAATGTTATTCAGACAGAGCAACTGTATGATTATCTGAAGAAGCATCACTTTCTGACCCCACAAATGTTTTTCCTTGGGATATTGTTGTCAGCTGTCATTGAGATGGACCCAACCAAGATAGATGCTAACATGAACTTGTCATGCCCAGTCTTTCACTCAGGTGCAACAATTTCATGGATTGATTTTATTTTATAGGAGATTCATCAGAACTTCTATTCTATAGCAACACCACTAATAGAGTTCCTCAATGTGAACTGATTTTCATGTTCAGATGAAACATAGACCAATTTTGATGCTTTGACTAAATATATTATGCAAGTCCTTTTTCTTGTTTTTCAAGATTTTTATCAAGTGTTCGAGATTGAGTGTAATATCTCTAACATGAGAGCTAGAATTGTCTTGAGTCAGGGTGGATACCCTATCATTTTTTTTTGTGAGAAATGGAATGATAATAGACAAAAGTATTCTATCAATGTCAATGAGTTTTATGTCATCGCGAGAGCCCTCAATCATTCAAGCCACTATTTACTGGTCGATGAGTTCACTCTCGATGTTGATTATGAGGCCCTTAAAGATTCTTAATTATCCAGAGTAAGCTGAAAGATAGACATGTCTCCTAAGTTGATTTTTTCTCTTATTTTTATTTTGTGCTCAAACACAAAGTTGGGAGCTATAACAAGATAGTTGGTGCTCTAAGTCATCATCACCTATTGCTTTCTACTATTTAATCGAAGATGGTTGATTTTGAGGTGTTGAAAGACTTATATGCCATTGATAAGAACTTTAATTAGATTTGGCTCGTTGGCAGGAGGGGCTCTATGAGTAATGCCCTAAATTTGATGGTTGTATGTCTTCTAGAATAAATTGTACATTCTTAGAAGTTTATTTGAGGAAAACTTGTTGCAGTAGTGTCATAATGGAGGGATAATATGACATTTTAGCAAGGATAAATTCTTTTATTTTTGAAGATAATTTTTATTGATCTAGATTGGTATGAGATATATAGTGGCATGTTAGGCAGCACAAGATTATACTCCTCTCCTTGTACTAAAGACGTCATGGTTGAATGTGAGTATGGATTTTGTTGTGGGCCTTCTTCAGACCCAATAGTGTAAGGATTTTGTTATAGTGGTAGTAGACTACTTTTTCAAGATGCATATTTTGTACCCTGCTATTAGATGATTGATATTTCATATATAGCATGCTTATACCTCAGGGCGATAACACGTCTTCATGAAGTGCTTAGGATTGTCTCTTCGGATAGGGATGTTATGCTTTTGAGTCATTTTTGGAGGACTTTATGTGCTAAGCTGGGTATAAAGCTTTAGTGCAGTTGAACGACATAAGCTTGTATAAATGAATGGATGCATATGGTGAATTGAAGTGAGTGAAGCCTCCTCAGATATTTATAGGAAAGAATATTAGACAATGTGACTTAATTGTTTCTTAGGTTGAGTTTGCTTATAATAGATTCACTAGTTTGCCCACAAGTAACAATCCTTTTGAGATTATATATAGACGAAACTCTCTCACACATTTGGAGGTAGTGCCTATAATTTCAGCTACTGAACTTCAGTTCAGTTTAACGGCATAAGCTTGTATAAATGAATGGAGGCATATGGTGAATTGAAGTGAGTGAAGCCTCCTTAGATATTTATAGGAAGGAATACTAGACAATGTGACTTAATTATTTCTTAAGTTGAGTTTGCTTATACTAGTCTGCCCACAATTAACAATCCTTTTGAGATTATTTATAGACGAAACTCTCTCACACATTTGGAGGTAGTGCCTATAATTTCTGCTACTGAGCTTAGTATTGATGTAGAGATCATGATCACAGAGATTCAATCCAAAATAAGCAGCTGAGGAAAAGGAATTGCTAGCAAAACACAAAGTATCAAAAATAGGCTAATAAATCTAGGAAGACTATGATCTTTAAGGCAGGAGATTTGGTGTTGATCAAATTGAAGTAGGAGGGATTACCTCAAGATTCATGTTTAGAAACTGAAATAGAAAGCTGGCGGCTCATTCAAGCTTGTTAAAACCATCAATGATAATACATACAAGATTGATTTGCACAACATTTATGCTGCCTTCAATGTTGTGGACTTTTCGTTGTGCTATGGGTATTGAGATGCTTCCAAAAGATGACAAACCCTAAGGGCTGAAGTAGTCTCCAGTTTAGCTTTTCCTTCAATATCTTCAACCCTTAAGGCTGGTTAGACTCCCATAGGGCCTTATTCACCTTAATTATGGTTAATATTAGATTTATTTTTCATTGGCACTTATAACAATGCTGTTTTAAACCTGATTTTGGACATTTTATTGATTTTATGTTATTAGAGAATTTCATCTCTAGTTTTCCCCTTCACGTTGTGTTGTATTCTAATCACTTTGAAGTGGTGTGACCGTAGCTTTGATCCAGAACTCGTGATGGATTATCCTAGTGATGGATCTTCCTAGACTTTGTACTCACCCATTTTGCCATTGATTGATTTTTCCTGTTGCTTTCCTATCAGACAGCAACCATAAATCTTTTTTTCTACCAACCCTTGCGGCTTCCCTCCATGCCATTTTACAAACCTTTTTAACACTTATTCCGATTCTTTTACACCTTATAGGAACCCTAAAACGGCGTCACACTGCTCATTGAGTGCACTAACTTACTTATAGCCCTCGACATATAGTAAGTTTTTCTCTCCTCCTTTGCAGAAAGGCACAGGATCCAAGTCAAGGCTTTCTCCTCTTTCTTCTGAACCTCGTGTATTTGGGAATAGGCATGATGCAACCGTCGACATACCACTGGATACAGTAAATGCAAGTTATCACTTTTTTATTATTGTGCTTTTTTATGTTAAACAGTTTGAAATTTGATCTAATAGAGCGATAAATTATATGCCATTGTGCAGGATCCCAAGAAAAAGGAAAAAGAGATTGCAAATTGGGAAGCAGATCTGAAGAAGAGAGAACAGGTTTCTTAGGAGCATGATTTTTAAGTTCTTGTCCCATGATATTTTCTTGGTCCTTCAAGGAGTTCTTTTTTTCTGTCTCAACTCTTCAGGGCATTTACGTACATAGCACACATTTCTCATGTATTTACATATCTCACACAAACTTTCATATTTACACGCCAAGTACTCAAATCCTTAACATCATTTAAAAAAATAACACTATTATCACTTTTTAAAAATAAAATACACATTTTCATGCATATGTTTACAACACGGAAGTGCTAGGTATAAAAATATAAAAGTTCAGGTGAGGTATATAAATACACAAGAATTGTGTGGCAGGTATGTAAATTTCCTCGATTCTTTTTTATTTGGCGTCTCTGCTGACTTTTTTGTTATAGGATGTAAAGCGAAGGGAGGATGCTTTGACTAGAGGTGAGCTGGGAGGTTTCATGGTCACTTATGTAACAAATAGATTGAGAGAATATAAATGCAAAGTGTTATACTTCTGCAGTATTGTTTTCAAGCTGATTAACTGTTTCAATTACCCGTTTTGTTGACGCAGCTGGAGTAACCATTGAAGAGCAAAACTGGCCGCCATTTTTCCCTATTATTCATCATGATATCGCTAAAGATATTCCAGTCCATGCACAAAAGTTACAGTATTTGGCTTTTGCAAGTTGGCTAGGTTAGCATTACATATCCTTCTTTCTTCTATCCTGAAGTAATATTTTCATGCTTTCATAGTTTGTTTTTGCCGCTTCACCATATGGGAGATCTATGTGAAAGACTATTCTATATGGATTAGGGAAAATATGAAGATGTATATAAATGTTATACACTCGATTGACAGAAGAATTTTGTATTTTTTTCCTTATTGATCATTCTAAAACCACGTTTACAAAATTGAAATGATAGTGAGAAGACTCGGAACCTTAGTCTATGTAGTTTAGTTGTAAATGGAGTCAAGTGCCAAATAGTCCCCTAGCTATTTAGATAGGGTCATTTTAGTCCTCGAGCCTATAAAAATGTCAAATTAGTCTCCAAAGTCCTTTTAATTGAGGTTGAAATAATCCTCATGCAGGACTATTAAATCCTTAAGTTAAAAAATCTGAGACTAATTTGACAAATGGCCGCATGTAAATAGTCAGTGGACTATTTTGACACTTATTGTGTTCAAATACTTGTTAGCATTTAAACTACTATAATTTTAATTGTTCTCTATTACTTTTAATTATATGGTTATCAATTTTTTGAATTCAGCACATTCTCTCATGTTCTTCAAAAGTAGAAAAAACGGAGCAATAATTATCAAATATCATTTGATTAGTTGATATGAATTGGGATCTTGTTGATTCTAAGATCTGAGAGAACAACTGACTTATCAGTTGGATTTGGACTCTTTAGTTTAAACTCATATATCAGCACTATCTTCTTATGTGCATATTTAAAAACTGTGAAGGATTGAAGTTGTTGATTCCCTTATGTTGAATTTGGAATGAAAGCATCATTACTTGCTTGAAAAATAAAAATCCTAATTGAAATAACATTATTTTTTCAGAGATTATGGGAGTGAGATTGGGAAGTCATGTTTTCTGTTGAGAATTGTATATAGTTTATGGTCTTATTTATAAATAGGAAATATAGAAGAAGTCCAGGGTTTTATTTATAAAGAAAGTTATAAGGCTATATAAGTCCAGTTCTTCCATAAATAGATTAAGTTTTTTAGCAAGATCATTTCAATTTGGCATCAGAGTCCTAACCTAGCAGCCAACCAACGTCTCGATCGGTGTCGTAGTCGGTGCAACTCAATCGGTGCAGAGAGCAGACGTATCATGACAGACACGATCGACAAACAAGAGCTTCCTTTATTCAACGACAGAGATGAGGATCGATCTTCCTTAATGAATCACAGTAGACATAATCGCGGATTGCGGCACGACATCGCGGTAAATGGCTGCTGGGAAGGCACCTACAAGATCGTGAGAGTCTAGGCGAGAGTGTGTCTCGCAGAGTTTGCTGAGGAAGGGCTTCTACCACTTGCTGCGAGAGGAAGGAGTGTAGCAGGATTTCGTTTCTGGTGGTATTTCGTATGCAACAGTCTCTTCGTTGCCTTCGCCGTGAGAAACAACTTGGAATTGTGACTCGGGAGTGAGGAAGTCAGCGGAGCAAGGCCTTCATTTCTGGAGTTACACTCGACGACATGGAGGCGAAAGTTTGAAGCGGCTGCGGTTTGGCATATGGGACAAAGAGGTTGCGACTTCCATGCAAACTAAGGCAAAGTGTATCGCACGTACTTGCAGGAAGGAAGTCTTGTGTGATCTGTGGGATCTAGATTTGATCTTTGTGATTGAGAATGTCCGGAGATGGAGATAGTGCAGGAAGTAAGGGATTGGAACTTCTGGGGAAGATGGATTCTAAATTTCTGAAGGTCTTAGTCAGTCTCATACAAGGAGCTAGCGTCTTGACGGGAGTCACTCTCTCAACATGCTCTTATGCAGGTGAAGCTAGATCTCCCTTATATAGATATGAAGCTCGATGTTCTGGCTACGTATCTAAGTTGGTCTCGTCGGATTGAGACTGCTCAAATAGGAAAGAGACTAGAAGGATACCCGACGAGGGTTGAGCCAAAGAGTGATAATGCTAAGAGGGATGAGTGGAGAACTACACATGCTTTGCTTTATACCTAGTTGCTTAAATCGATTGCCTTATGAGTGGATGGTATTAGAAAGGTCAGCAATATTTGGGCAAAGCTGAAGCAGATCAATGCTGGAGCTGAGAACAACATGAGGGTGTTGTGGATTCAACATGAGGTAGATGCAGTGGTTCAGGATGATAAATCGATTCAGTACTTTATAATCTGTAGCGGATTCACTTCTCATCGATTTTGAGCTGTAGTGATCCGAGGTGAAAGAATGGGGAAATCATTGCACAAATGAGGGCTATGCTTTTTTTGGCTCATCTGAACTTGACTTTTGATCAGAGGAGATCAGTTCTCTTTGCCCAAGCAACCATTCCTTCATTGGATGAGGCAATCGTAGCGATGATACAGGAAGAGTGTCAAATGAGACTACATCTGACTTCCAGGCACTCGATCAACTTTGGCCACCTCTAGTGAAGGTATGCAGGTGCTCGGGGGGAGCCTAAAGGTGCTATAACTGTGGAGAAGTGGGACACCTAAGCAATGCTTGTCTAAAGCCACCGAAGGAGAGAGAGGATGGTGGACATGGCTAGTCTAGAAGTTGTGGTCGTAGTTGTGGGGGCCAAAGAGATGGAAGAGGGAGTTATCAGACAAATCTAATGTTAGTAGAGAATGAGGGAGAGACGGGTGATCTTTACCCTGAGGATCACAAACTCATGGAGATGTTGAAGAGGAAGCAAAAAGTAGTAGGTGATGTGATTGAGAATGCATCCACCTTTTTTTCATCAAAGGGGAAACTATTAATTATGCTCACTCAGCTAAAGGTACTTGTCATCAGATGCTCTTGTCTCTATATCCATCATAAGATCACCAGTTAGCGAGTTTGATTCCTATACTCATCTAATAGTTCCCGAAAATATTTAGACAGTTGATGGTGCAACACTATGTGGTTGGTGTGGGTACAATGAGATGTACAAATTTACGACATTGTCTAATGTTTTGCATGCTTCTTTCCAGTGAATCTTTTATTCATTAATATGGTTATTCTCTAACTAAAATGTGTTGTTTTTTTTTTAATATTCCTAAGGTGATCTTTTAAGAGAAGGGGATCAGCTGGAGACTTGGAACTGACACGTGGCATATTGAACTCTTGTACTTTGATAGAGAGAGGATGAACTCAATAATAACATCCATGGTAGAACGTGTTGGAGTATGAGGATTTGGGAGGAGTGTATAGAATGTGTTGTTACATCACAGACGCATGAGACACGCTTTGTTTAGTCTGTTGAGTCGTTTGTATCCGTCTTTGTATGAGAATATTATGTGATGCATGTGAGTTGAGTAAGCATAACAAAAACTTTTATATTAGTTATGGTAATAGGAATTCTTGTGTTTTTGATTTGGTGCATTCAGATGTATAAGGACCTTGCTCTACAACTTCGATGAATGACACAATAAATATTTTGTGGTTTTCTTTGATTGTTTTTCTCGTGATACTTGGTTGTATCTGATGAGAAATAAAAGCGATGTGTTTGCCTGCTTTAAAGATTTTCACTGGGCGATTCAGACTCAATACGGTGCAGGAGTGAAGATATTAAAGTTTGATAATTAGACATAATATACTAAAAATGAACTTGAGGAGTACATGTCAGACCAGGGGATACAACATCAAGTCACTTGTCCATACATACCGACACAAAACAAAGTAGCAGAAACGAGGAACATACACCTTTTAGAGGTAGCTCAAAGTATGTTGACTTTGATGAATGTCCCAAAACACTTGTGGGGGCAAGTAGTTTTTACAATTGTTTAATTAATCAATAGAATTTCTTCAAGAGTGTTGGGGTGATAATCTTCTTGTGAGTTGTTAAAATGAGATAATGACAGGATCCTCCTATTGAATGTATTTGGTTGTGTATGTTTGGTGAAGAACGACCATCAATAAAGAAGCTGGATTCTAGTGCCATGGAGTGTTTTTTTGTGAGTTATTCTGTTACTTAGACGAGTTATGTTTGTGGGAGACCAATAGAGAAGAAACTATTTGTGAGTATGGATGTGACTTTTATAGAATTCAAGGCATATTACTCCTTGGAGATGACGTCACCCTTGGTGACTTGAGAGATAATGGAGGTATGAGGTAAGAGTGGGAGAGTAGTGATGGTGAGAGATTGGTACATGTGAGAACGAGGCCTTGTCCCTTTCGGTGGGTAAGATCAAATGAGGAAGAGCCAATTCCTGAGAAAAATGAGTCCGAAGGTGGCGATATTCAAGCCCATGGGGAGTTGAGGGTGTATACAAGGAGGAGGCAAAATGAGGGAACCATGCTTGCTTTGCCACTCATGCCAACAAGTTTCTTGTCCCGGTCTACCCCAACTCGTGAGGAACCTGCACCATCCACCTCAGAATCCGATTACACAAGTGATATGATTCCTCTCCTTTCTTCTCACTCTCATGACTTTAAGGACGACATCTCATAGGAATGTGGGTCATTCTCCTGATTGTTTTGGTTTCTCTCGTGACAATGCTCAATTTATCTCATACTCTAACATATCACCTATATAGGGAGCATTCATTACATCTTTGGATACTGCCTCTATATCCAAGTTTTGACAGATAGTTGAGTATCCAAAGTGGAAGGTTGTCATGTGGGATGAACTTGGTGCTTTCAATAAGTACAAAACACATGAGCTTGCGATGCTGCAAATGGGTCTTCATAGTGAAGCAGACCTCAAAAGGAAAGATTGATCGCTACTAAGCACAGTTGGTGGCGAAAGGGGTATAGTCAAACAGATGACATCGATTATAATGAGACATTTGCTCATTTAGCAAGATGAGCATAGTATGTATATTCGCTCTCTAGCTGTGAATAGTGGATGGATGTTATACCAAATGGATGTAAAGAATTCATTTCTTCACGGGGATCTGCTAGAGGAGGTGTATATGGAGATACCACTAGGTTTTGACACAAACCAAATAGTGGGCAAGATATGTAGACTGGGGAAGTCAGCTTTCGGGTTGAAATTGTCTCCTCGAGCTTGGTTTGACAAGTTTTTGGGAGCAATGGTAGACATGGACTATTGACAGATCAATGTCGTCCACTGTGTTCTTTCGATGATATGGTTGTCATATTACTATTCTTGTCGTGTATGTGGATGATATGATTGTCACTAGTGATGATGAGGGAGAGATTGTTTAGTTGAAAACAAGTATGGGCAAAGAGTTTGAGGTGAAAGGCCAGAGAGAATTTAGATACTTTCTTGGGATTGAGGTGACTTGGGAGCAGAAGAGATTGTTCTATCTCAAAGGAAATATGTGCCAGACTTGCTCACAGAGACATGCATGTTGCGATGCAAGCATGCAGTTGCATCAATTGATCAGAAGGGAAAGCTGAGCGTAGAGGCAGGGAAGCCAATTGATAATGAGAAGCACTAGAGGTTGGTAGGCCAGCTCATCTATCTGAGCCATACTCGTCCTGACATATCATTTGCAATAAGCGTAGTGAGTCGTTACATTCTAAGGAAGTGTCACATAGATGTTGTGTATCAGATTCAGAGGTATCTGAAGAGTGCACCAAAGAAAGGTTTGATCTTCAAAAAAATGGGCATTCAGGCATTGAGGGCTATTGTTACTCTGATTGGGCTTGCTGTGCTGATGACAGGAGGTTGTTTGGAATCACTTTTATTTTTTTTCTATTTTATTTTGTTTATATATATTTTTTGAAATAAAATATGTTTAGTGTGTTTAAATAAAATATGTTTGTTTTTAAAAATAGTCATACCATTTAAAATGTTGTCTTGAGTGTCTTTTAAAAATAGAAGATGAAAATATGTAAAAAAAAATACTAAACAATTATGTTTTAAAAATATAGGCAAAAATGAAAATACAAACATAAAACAAAAGTGATCCCGAACTAAACTATTTGTTTCTTTCTAATGCTTACTAATGTTTTAATTTTTGCAAGAATAAAAGATGTCTTAAAATGTTACACTTATTTTCTGTTTTAATAAGATTTCTTTTGGTCGAAACAATTCATGACTATTTTCAAATATCTTTATGTCTAGTTGGATCAACTACCTCTTCTAAGTAGGCCATAGTTCATGACAACTCTGGACAATAAAGTTATGGGATATTATTCGAGTTCATTGTCATCCCCACACTATGCACTCTAAGCTCACGATAATAAATTTCTGCAATCTAAAAAAAATCAAATTCTACCATATGTTGAGCAATCAGTATTCTAATGATTAGCTTTGATTGAAAGTGCTCTCCCATTATTGGGAGGGGTAATTAATAATAGGGGTTGGCGCCTATAGTTAAAAAATGGTGCTTTATTTAGCAGAATTTGATGTCATCTCACATTGAGGTTATGAGAATTACATTATTAACAAAACAAAATTTAAATAGCAGTCAAATTAACTGGTATCTTGATTATCTCTCTTATGATGGCTAATAGAAAGGAGAAAAAAGTCTCATATCCACCATCAATCATCTAGGTAGCATTGACTTATTTGACTAAGAATTAACCAAACACATTGCTTTTATATAACTATGCTATCCAATTAGCAGTTATCTCTAGATATTTCTGTGCTAAATAGATCTTAATGAATTTATGGAACATGATAGTCGGGAGTTCATATTTTAAAACTGGCATCCCTTTCTAGAGCTTGGCATGCTCTCTAATCTGCCTTTTTTTACTTCCTTTCAGGTATGGTTCTTTGTCTTGTGTACAATGTTGTTGCTGTGACCGTTTGCTGGATCCGTGGAGGAGGTTTGATTTATGACAGCCTATATTTTAAAGATCACCTCCATAGTCCCCTTAATTTCATGCAATCTTGTTCTTTTTCTGCAATGGCTTGACTCCTATGCTTCCTGTAGGTGTAATAATATTCTTGCTTGCAAACATATATGCCCTGCTTGGGATTCCTCTTTCATATTTGCTTTGGTATCGGCCTCTGTATCATGCTATGAGGTATCTCTTTTTGCTGCCCAACATTTCATATTTAGCATTTATCTATCCATATTTTTGTTCCCTTTTTATTATTTTATGGTTGGTTTGAGTATTTTTTATCTACATTGAATAAATTCATTGCCAAAATAGTTCTAGTTTACTTTTCTGGAAATAATAATTTGTTTAGAAGTATGATTTTTATAGGAATAAAATATTAAAAGTCTCCTGACTATTTACATGGTTCCATTCTAGTCCTAGGCTTTATAAAAATGTGGAATTAGTTGCAGACTCTTTTAATATGGGATAAAATAGTTCACATGGAGGATTATTTGAGGCCCAGTAAAATAGTTTGGGACTAAATTAATACTATCGTAGGCTTTGAGAATGACCACCGACAAAAAATCAAGGGACCATTTTGACATTTTTCTTGCTTTTTTATACGCTTGTTTTAAAATTGAACGTTATATGAATCAATTGGTACTGAATCAACGGTTTTGCCTTACAGGACTGATAGTGCCCTGAAGTTTGGTCTTTTTTTCCTTGTTTACCTGGTGAGTACTATTGAAATCTGTTTGTGGTGAACCCTTCACTGTATTTTGCGTATCTAAATTGTTGGTGTTATGCTACAGATTCACATTGGCTTTTGTATTGTTGCTGCTATTGCTCCCCCAATTGTATTCCGTGGGAAGTCATTAACGTAAGCCAGTTTGTTTGTTGTTTTGTCTACAAAGCAATGTGACACTTTTATTTATTTATTTATTTATTTTATTGGAAACGGGATTAAACCATTTTTCTTTTTCAACTGGAGTACTCTAAAAGATGACTTAAAATAGTCTGAGGCGCTAATTAATATGGCGCAAAAAGAAAAATGACCCATGTTATTTCAGGGATCCTTAATTTTTGTGTATCCACTTATATGAGACTGACATAATCGTAAAACTTTCCAGAAAATTTTGTTAAGCATGATATTTTTGCAATGAAACATTATTTGGTGTTCTTAGATTATTACATCCTTGTTTTCTTTGATGAAAAGTGATATTCCTGATAAAAGCATTGTTCTTTGGAATTTAATGCTTTTAGAATTATTCTCCGTGATACGCATGTGTAGTTTTCTATCATCTTGTTTAATGTAGTACTTTTTATTTGTTCACCTGACAACCCTACTTGAGATTGTGATTATTTTTGAATAATTATATACTGGTATTTTGGGGCATACATGATTAATTGACATGTTTATTAACTTATTTATTCTAACTTGCAGTGGCATTCTAGCAGCAATTGATACGTTCTCAGATCATGTTTTGGTGGGGGTGAGTAAGAAATTAACACTTATTGTTTTGATCCTTTCTTCATGTATTTTGTAGAGGTTCTCTAATTCAAAATAAGGTTTATTTTGTAATTTATTTTGCTAGTTAGTTTCTTTCTTTCTATTTTGTAGTTTGCTAGTTCCACTCCGTTTATTAAGCATGTGCATTCTTCCTTTGGCATGATTATGCTGTAGATCTATAGTTCTTTTGTAACTCTAACATGCTTCCCACTAGTTGCCATAATTAGTCGCTTGAAAGAGTGATGAATGGGGACCTTTATATTTAAGGAAAAGTGTCGAAGGAGGCAATTTAATTCAAGAGTCCATAAAATTGCCAATTTAATACTTACTCTCTTTTGGTGCAGACTAAAATAGTTCTTTATGGGAACTATTTTAGCCCATAGTAAAACAGTATGGGGACTAATTTGAGATTATATAATATGGGACTAAAATGATCCCATTTAAATAGTTTAGGGACAATGTTGATAAATTGCTCTTCATAATTATCTGATTTTGTTTGGTGATGGGAATGTCTGCCTTTGGATGTGATCAGTCAGGCTTTAGGCCACTTAATTTTGCATAAACGGGATATTTCTGTTTGGTCCTAAAACTTAAATGTGTATTTCCTTATTCTTCTTACAATCCTTGATGGTTCTAATAAAATCCATGCCTTATGTATGAAATGCAGGTCTTTTACTTGATTGGCTTTGGCTTGTTTTGCTTGGAGACGCTTCTAAGCCTTTGGGTTCTTCAGGTACTTATTAGAATTATCCGTACACTTTTTTGAGCTAAAATGTATGTTTCAAACTGCACATTTCATCTGGACACATTCCTCCATTTCTTCTGGATATATCCTCGCGTTAGGCTGACTTAAGAATAAAATTTATAATTTCAGAGGTCTAATTCTGTAAATATATGATAATCCAGTTCATTCGGGGTTAAATGAATGGGTTTAACTAGAAACAGTAACTACTTCAGAAAAAAAGTACTTCAATTTTACAAGCTGCAAGTCTACATTAGTTAATTGGATGGGTATACTTAGGATATGATCTTTCTTGCTGTTTACTGGTGCGTTGAGTTCTTCTTGTCAGAAGTCTTCTTTTGACTTGGTATGCTTAGCCCTAAATTTTGGAATTAATTTTAATTGAATTGTTCTACATAATTTTCTTAGAAATTGTTCATAGAGGCTTGTTGCTTGTTTTGATTGATGATATATTTTTGCATTCTATAATCAAAATATCTCATAATGGAGTCCGTGCTTCTCAATTTTTTTGTTATGCTCTAGCTAATGACCGATTGTCATAGATCTCCATATAGATATTCTAATAATTCTACCCAGGGTATGGGGTTTGGGATGGCGAGCATGGGGGAATCGGTTTATTTTTATGGTTGTTGCATGCAAACAATTTTAATAATGATAAGAGTTTTTTGGCTGCATAACTTATTTAAAGTTGTATTTGTTATGCATCAAAAACCAAGGAAGAAGGATGGATCTCCAATACTAAGTTGGCATATACGAGAGGATGTTCTTAGAGGGTGTTTGGTAGCGTATTTGCGCAGGATGTACTTAATATTTAAAATAAATCCATCCAAACAAAAAATCAGACAAATTAAATTCGTATTTTACTAAAGCCAATTTTTTTTCCCCTCCAGTTGCTTTTTTAACGTTAAGTCCTGATTTATTAAATCCGATTATTACGTGGATTTAACAGATTTAGCTTAGGAAGAAAATCGTAGGCATGGATTTATGCCAAACAATGAATTTAATGAATTTAGCGTTAAATTGAACCAAACATTATTCTAGATTTACAACATTTTTATTTGATAAATCCATATTTACATCCTATTTAACATGAATGTTATAGGAAAGCCAGACACCCCCTTAGCTTCGAAATTGGAGATACTTGTTCTTACATCATAGAGGACAAAGCAAAGTCAACTTTTAAGGCTACCAAGGAGCATTTTAGAATTGGAAAGTAAACTCCTTGTAATACCAGGGGAAAGTGAACTCCTTGTAATACCAGAGGAATTTTGAAGGATGAAAATTGTCTCTTGCACTAGGACTCCTAAAAGTTGAGATTTGACTTTGGGATTCAGAGGGGAAGCTTGAAAGATAGGGGATTTCTCCAAAACTCTAAGAGTTTTCTTTAGATATCATTGGAAGAAAGAAAGAAAATGACAAAAATGTTTGTGTAATTATAGTTTTGGGAATAATCTATTTAGGGATATTGAAAATATGGTTGTTGTTTATTTATCCCTGTTCTCCTTGCTAGTTGGATTTTCGGTATTCAACACTGCTCCCCTCGCCTGAGCTGTTGGGCAGTAGGGCTGTTTAAAAAGCTCATTGTTTTTCAGCTCGTTAAGTAGCTGATGCTCAAATCATTTATTAAGTAAATGAGCGGAACACGAACAAATGGACTTCATTTGACTTTCTTAAGCTAGTATAAGGGTTGATTTAGTCAAATTGAGTTTGTTTAGGCGCCTGATGGGCTAAATAACTAATTTGGTTTCTTATGGATGTTCCTAGATAACTATTTTGTTTTAGAAAGTGTGTGCTTGATCACCAGGTTTATTTACACAACCAAAATTTTTGTACTTTGAGTGCCTGGGCAAAAATCAATGTTCTTTATGATACTTTTGGCTTGCAGCAGCCCAAATATCCTATTAAGGTCTGGGATTGATTAAAAACATTCAAACATGCTGAATTTTAATAAAACACAGAAGATATATAACTAAAACTCTTCTAAATCTGTTTCTTTGTTTTTCCAAACCTGTATCTACTTTTCTTCCACTTTTCAGGATCTCATAAGATTTGTTTTGTAAACCTTCTTTTGTAAATCAATTTTGTTTTGTAAACTCACAATATACATACATAAATGCCTTTCAGTCTTTTCTCACCATGTATCATACTTTATTATGCTTTTAGCCCCTGAAAAATCTTTCATTTTTTGACACAAAATTCTTTTTTCTTAATAAATTTGCAGAAAATTTACCTGTACTTCCGAGGGCACAAATGAGGATGATGATCTTTTTCTTTTGTTGATCTGCAGTGCTCCATGCTAATATTTGGTTATTTTAATTACATTAGTATAGTTATAGCTGGTCATGCTTTAGAATTTCCTAATAATCATATTTCTTCACACTGCATTATCCTATGATTTCTCTTTTCTTCATTGAGAAGAAAGTTTGTTTGATTTCTGTTCTTTAACAGCTGCATATAATTTTAGTTCCTCATCCAATGTGATTTCCAGCTAAAGTTTATGAAGTTTTTTAATCCAAATTTATGATGAATTTTGATTTTGAGGCCGGTTTCTATATCAATTACTCAAAATATTGAATATAACATTTTAGCCATGTGTTTCATTACTGTTACAAGGCTTTGAGTGAAAATTTTGCGTCGTTAAAACGTTATATCTAAAGTTTGGGTGGTTAATACGTTATATTCAATATTGTAGATGGTATGCGAAAACCCCACACACTGATTGAACAATTTATTGTTGGAAGATTTACATAAATACCGCTCAATTCGTATGCATTTACATATGTAACACATAACATTCAATTTTTACATTTTTCACTTCACCGATGCATGAAAATGTGCATTTCACTCTTTAAAAGTTTAAATGGTGGCCTTTTTTAATGTGATGAGAAAGATAGGAGTGGTATAAATGTAAATAATTAGAATTAGGTTGTATGTATGTAAATATATATATTTTTTATACTTATATTGCATTTATCTCAAAATAAATACAATATAAAACTCATAAATTCAAATATTATTGTATATTGGGTGGCATATGTTATGACTCAAAAGCCAAAAGAGGGGTTTTGTGCAATTTCTTAGTCTTGGATTAAGTAATTTAGAAAGGAAATAGCTAACATCACCTTTTCAAATTGCCCATGAGGCTTCAAATTTTAAACCCCCAATTTGCTAGAAGGTAAATCACTATTATACTTATCTCTATATGGAATTTTACATAAATACCACATAATTCTTATGCTTTTACATATTTAACACTGAAAGTTTGATATTTACACTTATAACATCTTAGTTTTCTAAGCCTAGGCACAAAAGGGTGTGTTTTACTTTTAAAAAAATGTTAATGGTGGTATTTTTCAAGTGATGCTAAAGACTTGTGTGGTAGACATGCAAATATGTATATTTTTGCTAATTGTGTAAATACATAAGTATTCAGTGATATTTATGTAAATGACCCAAGAAAATCTTCAATCAAATTCCTTGTTTTCTCATACCCAAACATCTTGATCAATTGTTTTTTGTCAAGTTTAGCAAACATGATTAATTAAATATAAAAAAAATCAAAGAGTAAAGAGATAAAATGGTATCTGATTATTTACATGAAAGTCATTTTAGTCTCAAAGTTTATAGAAGTGTCAAAATAATTTCGATCCTGTCAAAATTGAGCTCTAAGAGTTTTCCATGAGAATTATTTTAATTTCAATTTAAAGAGTCTGAGGACTATTTTAACACTTCTATAAACTTCGAGACTAAAATGACTCAATGTAAAAAATTGGGGACTAATTTGACACTTCACCCAAAATAAAATAATTATTATGATGTTTAAGTATTAAAAAAAAGGTAAATAAACAACTTATCATTTATAATAAGTAATAAGAGACTGAGCAGTTTCTAGATCTACAATAAAATGACAATGAAAGAAGTTAAAATTCATGAGGAGTTGCATGTATACTTCACACAAAATTTACATGTTTACCACCCAATTCTTATTTATTTATATATCTAACACCTAAAGTTTAATATGTATATTGACATTTTTGTCATAAATCTATGCATGAAATATTGCATTTCACTTTTAAAAACGCAGTAATGATGATATTTATGATGTAATTTTAAGGATTGGAGTGTTATGCATGTCAAATATAGAAGTTTAAATGTTAGTTTTGTAAATAGATAAGAATTGTGTGGTATGTATGTAAATGCCCCTAAACAAATGAAAACACTTGATTTGCATGTCTACAAGTGAAATGCATCAATATAGCAAACGCAAGTAAGTAAAATTGCAAAGCAAAACTTAGCAGATGCAAAATAAAGTACATAAACTGTTAACTCAAACGAAGAAGCTCCCTTTTGAGCTGGCTCGAATGCAAAGAGCTAAACTCGAATTTGAACTCAAAGAGTTAATCAAACTAAAACTCAAACAGAGTGCATAAAGCTCGACCAGAAATGGCGGCCATGCGGTCAACTTGTGCCGTGTATTCCTCATTCATCAAAACTTTATACTAAATTAATTGGGTGAGTTCTTAATTCACGAAAATATTTACAATGCATTTCATTTCCATTCAATCAAACACCAAAATTCTTTAAAACACCCACATTTCTTTTGCAATACTCTAAACAACCCCTACTATTTTAATCCAAGCATAGCATTAAAGCCAAACATCATACATTCCTATGATGCAACAGGTGACTAATTTTGTAAATAGTTAAATTTCAAGTGCTCTACATGTAATTAGCTCAAAAGAAATTGGAAGGAAAAAAAAAGCAATTTTTTTTTTTCAGTAATTCACACAAACAATCATCACCCTTTACACTCATTCTCTCCCAAAAAAAAAAAAAAAAAAAAAAAAAAAAAAAAAAAACATACAAACATTGCTCAGCTAAACATCATAAACAACTATTCACTGTACATTACCCCAAGAAACCCAATCTATAAATTTGAAACACCCATTCAGTGCTTAGCTTTTATTTTCTACCAAAAGTCTCATCTTCCTGAGCCAAACTCATTGGAAGAATCAGTTGTAATAACTCGTAGAAACTTCGATCTCGAATGGCACGAAGAAGAATCCATCATCTTCTCAGCTTCGAACCAACTTCCAGGTTTGTAAGGAACACCAATCCCTCGAGATTTATGGTATCCAAAACCCTCCCCGCTTCAGTTTCCTTTCCCACATGTTCATAAAGATGAACAGCAGCACTCAAGATGAAACCATCAGGCTTTATCAGACAATTCGTCATTTCAAAGAAGAATAATCCCTCGTCGACTAATCCATAATCCATATACGTCCGAATCATCGTTCGACAACATGCTAAATCCGGCTCAAGCCCTGTTTGCTTCATCAAGTTATAAACTCGCTCGGCATCATGAATGCGGCCTTCTCTTGCGAAAGCGAAAATAAGAGGGTTAAAATGAGCATGAGATGGCGAGATTTCTGCTTCCTGCATTCTGCGAATAACTTTCTCGGCATCGTGGTAATTGTGAGACTGAGTGTAAGATCGAATGAGAGCGAGATACGAGATGGAATCGGGAGAGTGGCCATCTCTTTCCATGTCTTTGAAAATGTTCTCAGCTTTTCTGTGAAGTCCAGCGGTTGCATATGCATTAATCATTGTGTTGTAAGTGATCTGAATGGATGATGCAAATAAGATTTTCGAATATGAGAATCAGGAGATACTTCATCAAGTTTGAGAATGTTGATCAACTTTGCAAAAAAATGAGGATTTTGATGAGAATCTTGGAGCCTACATTTTGGGAAATTTACAAATCTTGTACATAATTCTTATTTATTTACATATCTCACGCCTAAACTTCATATTTACATACAAACACACTCTCTCTCTCTCTCTCTCTCTCTCTCTCATTTAGTTTCATAATTTTACATATACCCTACACATGTAACATTTTCATGCAAACTTAAAATATATGTACCTTTCCAGGTTTAATTCCACCTTCCTTCATTTTGTTAAATAACAAGGATGCATCTTGTATCCTCCCTACAAAAATAAGAAGAAATAATAATAATGGCATTTTTAAGGGTGCTATAGTTCAGAAATTTATTGTGTAAATTATGAAACCCACCCCATTTTCCATAGTAGCTGATCATATTGGTGTATAATTTCTCATCTATTGATGGGCACAAGTCATGTGCGGCATCAAACATCTCGATAGCCTTTCCCGATTTCCCTCGACCATATACACTAAATTAAACAAGCGAAAAAAAAATACTCATTAGAAATGAAACCAACTCGAAAAAGTTCTATATATGTTCTCGTAAGCAATAAGCATGAGTCAATATACATACCACATAGCTCTTATGTATTTACTTATCTAACATTCAAACTTTCATATCTACACACATAACACTCGAAATTTTAATATCTAAAAAAATACCACCATTTTTAAACTTTTAATAGTGAAATGCCCCTTCTCATGCATTGATTTATGACACCAAAATGTTATACAAATGTAAATATGAAACTTTAGGTAAGATATGTAAATATATAAGAATCAACGGTATGTATAAAGTATTTAAATTTCTTTATAAAAAAACTACCTAATCATCGTGTTATATGTCTGAAGAGATGGCCGAACGCCTGCATCAATCATCCGGTCGTAAATGTCAATAGCGAGATGCAATTTACCTGCAGACAACAATTCTTTTAACTCATAAAAATCCGCCACACATGACATGTTTCATAAGGTTGTAGGTATCAGACCTGAATCTAGCATTGCCTTAATGTACGTGTTGTACGCCACAGTATCAAGTACAGTATCTGTATCAAAACTGCCATATATTAACCGTTCTGCGTTCTGAAACATGCCTGTAATAGATATGGAATAATACAATAATTAGTATGAAACAGGCCATAGAAAAATCAATAAATATTCTAATGTATGTAGTAGTTTGTTTAGAACATATGAACTATTCCAGGTATGTAAACTCATTTAGGATCTAGTTCCATTCCACTGTAGTGATCATAGTGCTGTATATTATCTCCAATAGAAACAAGCCTTATACACAGACAGGGCATGTATATAAAAATTCAAGTATAGGTGTCATGTAAATACAAAAATATTGAGCGGCATGTATGTAAATCTTCCAAATAATCATAATAATAATAAAGCTATGTGCTTTTTGATAAACCATAGAGTTTTAGCTGAAGGGTTGTGCATTCATTAAACAACGTTAGCAAGTGGATTAAATTTACAAGTTAGTTGGTTATTTTAATAAAAAAATTATTTTTATATATTGATGCTTCCCTCTCCCCCCCTCTCTCTCTTCCCCCGATTTTCTCCAGCTATTGGCTAGCTATGCTAATCTGTAACACAAAACTTCATTACAAATACAAGATCAATCATAGTTTTGTTCAGCCTCTCCGCAAGAAACAAAACTAGCCCTAACTCATAAGAAAGACGAGGATGGATTGAGATCAAGGAAGATTAGGAAATGGGATCAGATAAACAAACATATTAAAAGTACCATTTCAGTAGATTAGAAGTTAAGCGTGTTGAATCTTAAGAAATTTTTTTTTCCACGCCACGAAGATATGATATTGAAAATAGGTTTGTAAAACAAGAGGATGAGTTTAAGATTATATTTGCCCCAGGAAATCCTCAAATTAATGGAAAACCATCTCCAATAAATTAGAAATATGGAAGGCAAGCAGAGTAATGGGCACAATAAATGGAAGGCAAGGCCGACGAGGAAGCGAGAGAGCAAGACAACAAGGGCATGAATCACGAACGAGTGGCAAACCCACTGAGCGAGCATGCTTGTTTGCTCGCATGAATGAGGGCACCAGCCCAAGGAGAGATGGATAGGGCTTAAAATATTGCAGTTACTTTTAAGGTTTCCTGCCTAGAAATTCCTCTGTACGCAATTAAAGGTTTCTATGAAAACCAAACCAATTGAGGAAAATACAAATGCCCTTTCAAAGATGGAATCAAGATGATATAGATGGATTACGATGCAATCGATATGATCTCAAAATCCTTCTTTTTACCCTATTTAGATTTATTCCACATGCAAACTCCTTTCCTTTTCCTTTGAGAGCTTAAGTAACTGTAACACTGGATATTGCACTTGCTCACACTAGCAATCTCCTTTATGCCATTTTTCTTCCACTGCCTGACAATTATATACGTTAACGAATTTCATAGCTGCAGTTATCGGTAAATACTTTACGAAATAAACAAAAGATTAACAACAATCATCAAGAAACAGAAACTGAAAATATTTGGCAATAAGCACTTATAAAATATAGAATTTATGAACTAAGATTTGACATGCATACCATGTTTACTGAAAGCATTAACTAGAATACTAATCACAACAGCATCTGGAGTAAGCCCTTTTTCAATCATTTTCTTGTAGAGAAGTTCAGCTTCATCAACCTCGTGACATTTGCAATAAGCATCAATCATAGACACATAAACAATTTTATCAACCATAGTGGATCGAGACGCCAATTTGTATATTTCTAACGCTTCTTTTAGCTGCTGATTTTGTCCATACAAATTAATTACAGAAGCGATTGCCGCATCATCGTGTCCGAAACCCAAATCAACGGACCGCTCCAGTATCCATTTCATCTCAACAAAACATCCTGAAGAAAACAGCCTACCTTAGTTAATAGAACTCGCAAGCTTATGAATGGATTCTTCTCAAAAGCAGACTTCCTACCTTCCTTAGCTAACTTTATCATAAGCCGGCTGGCTATTGACAAACCATTGGTCGTCTCCAAAAGAGATTTTAGCATTTCCGAAGCCTTATGGGCATCGCCATTTTTCAAATACGAGCAGAGCATTACACCGAGCAAAGCAACGTCTGGTTGCTCGACGGTCTTCAGCAAGTTCTCCGCAAGATGAAGCGCCCCAACTTCTCCGTACAATGTAATCAACAACATCTTCATCCGGTTATCGATTGCCATTCCGGAACGATGCATCTGATCCACTAACTGCTCGGCATCGATCACCATCCTCTCCCTGCAATACACTTGCAAAACGGTCCTATAAAGGTCCCCATCAAAAGGCACCTCATATCTTTTGATTTCAGAAACCAAACCTTTGGCCTTCTCTAAAAGACCCAATTTAAGATACAATATAAGCATCCCATTGTAGCAAATTGCATCCGGAGACTCACTCCTGCAAAGAGTTCGAAAGGTCGATTCAGCAGCCCCTACATCTTCCTTGGCAACGTAACATCGAAGTAAAGCACAATATGAAAATTTGGATAGCTCCACATTTCTTGATCTCATAAGATTTAAAACATCTAAAGCCTTGTCGAAGTTTCCCGCGTTCAAATGTACCTGAGCCATAGCCACATACGTTTTCTCGTGGGTAAGAAGACCAAGCTCGTCAACATCCTCAAAAGTTCTTTGTGCGTCGTCGTACAGTCGAAGCTTGCCGTATATCCTAACAAGTATTCCATATATCACTTCATCAGGAACAATTTTATTCCTCTCCATTTCTGAAAACATAGAGAGAGCTTTGGCATAATTGTCATTTTTGTAATGCAGTGCCAGAACAGAGGCGAGTGTATAAACACTTGGGATAATGCCCTGAGGTTTCATTTCTTCATAAAGTCTTAGCGCCTCATCCTCTCTGCCATTTTTGGCAGTAAGGATGATCAACATACTATATGTTGATTCCTCCGGAACAAAACCCACTTTTTTCATTTTCACAAATGTACCAAGCGCATCATCTAGAAGACCTTTCTTACCAAATGAATGTATTGCAAGTGTGTAAGTGAAACCATTTGGTTCTAATCCAGCTTCCAAAATCTGCTTCCATAATTGGATAACCGACGAATGAATTTTTTGCTTATGGAAAGAGGACATCATGAAATTAAAAACGGCAATAGAAGGTAAGATTTCTCGCCTGCGAACTGCGGAGTAAAATGTCATCATAGGTTTTTGTCTGCCCCACCTGGCATATGCACACAACATTGTGCCGCAAGCAACTTCGTCTGGCTCGCAGCCACACTCGAGCATCTCCAAAAATAACTTTTCAGCAAGTTGTATTTTTCCAACTTGACCATATGTTCGAAGAAGGATGGTGTAGGCCATAACGCTCGGTTTGTAGCATAACTGCAAGAATATGAAGTAATGACAACATTGGACTTTAGTTTGGTTCCAACTCAAGCATGACAAGCCATGAGACATATACATACATATCGCCCAATTCGTATGTGCTAAAATATCTAAAACCAAACCTTTATTTTTTACATTTATACCGCCCAAATCTTTCATACAACATAAAAAATACCACTATTGTAACTTCTAAAAAAATAAATGCACCTTGCACGCATAGGTGAGGTGGCATATATATAAAAGATTGAAATGTTTTGGAGTTAGATATGTAAATACATAGGAATTGAGCGGTATGCAGGTGAATTGTTTCATTACATGCAAAATCATACACATGAGAAAGTCTCCAATGGTAACTAACAAGTTTCAACATAAAAAATTCAAAGTCTCCAGTGGATTACTGAGCTTAATTGTCATCACTTTTATAACCAAGTTTTGATCATTTCAATCAACATCCAAGTTGAGAATCAGTGTGACAATTGACTATTAATATGATAATGATTTAATAAATTTATTTTTTTTAATTGTCAAAACTCAGTTATAAGGAAAGACTAAGTCTTGACACACGTGAATAATTACCCATCCATCAAAAAGGGCCAAAAACTTAAGATCTTCCAAAATATGATAAATTTAAATACATACCACCCAATTCCTATGTATTTACATATCTAACAAATAAACTTTACTTTTTCACATTTATACCACTCAAATCTTTCATATCACATCAAAAATATCACTATTTCAACTTTTACAAAGTAAAAAAAAATACACCTTCTCATGAATAGTTGACATAGATGCAAAAACTTAAAAGTTTTTATGTTAGATATGTAAATTCATAGGAATTAAGTGGTTTGTATGCAAATTTTCCAAAACAATTTGCAGGAAAAACAAAAAGAAAATGGAGGAGAATGAAACCAAGTGACCTGCAACTTCATCCAGGCAAAGAAATCCCGAGCCTGGCGCCACCCTCTCTGTTCCCTGAGCACCACACACATCTCCCGAAAGCTGAGCTTAGCAACGAATGACCCCATAACCTCCCTCATGTCATAGGATCCCTCCGGCCGCCCGGCAAGCGACCTCACAGCCTTGATCGCCGCCACCACATGCCGCCCATGCGCCTGCCCCTCCAGCCGGCCGTCCTGCACCAGCCGCGCCATCTGCTCCGGCGTCCGGCGGATCCACCGAGGAATCTCGGCGAGAGGCCCTTGATTCCGGCGCAAACGCCGGAGGTACTGTGCCTTCTCGTGGATGATGCGGCGGGCGTCGTCGTCGGAGAGTGGTTTACGGGGATGGAAGTTGGGCGGCGCCTTGCGGGTCTTTCGCTGGGTGCCGCGGGAGTTGCCGTCGCTAAGAGTCCAGGAGGTAGGGGATCGGGTAGCGGCGTGGATGGGGTTGAGATTGTAGGGTTTGGATGCGCATTGGGATTTGGATGGGGGAATCCGTGAAGGGAGTAAAGGAGGAAGGAAGGAAGTATGGATTGAATCCATTGATGAATGAATGGATTGTCAGGCTATCAACTTCGACATTTCATCGTACCGGGAGGCTGGAACGAAGCTGATATTTTTTGGGGAAAAATTATTCTGCGAGCACTCATGAGGAAATCACGTCTATAGAAAATAAAATAAAAAACCCGTAGCCTATATTCCTCTCATATTATTCAGGTATTATTATATTTTATTCTGATGTTATTGTGTGTTATTCAAGTTGATGTGTTATTTTATTATTATAATCGGAAATGTTCTTAAAATACAATAACACTTGAATAACATACAATAACACTTAAATAATAATAATAATATGGCGGAATATTCCCGTGTTAATAAGCTGATTTTTATTTTTTTTCTGTCACCGCCACGTGACGTGATTTTATTGGACTCCGAATGATTCTCTGCATCAGAAGTCCTGACAGAATATGCACTCATTTTTTGGAGCCAAGCCGAGGAGGAAGATGTCACTATTTGTGTGATATATATATACCACTTGAATCTTATTTATTTTTAATATCAAATTAAAAATCACTATTTTAGCTTTTAATATGTAAACTTAAAATTTTATGCGAAAGTAAACGCAAAGGTGGTATGTATGTAACAAAATAAAAATTAGGAATTGTATGTAGGTAAATAATTTGGAATAATAATATTATACTGCACCATCAAATACATTTCAAAATTTAAAATTTAAAATGAGATCTTTTTTTTGGAGGGAATTACAATCAAACCACTGTTATTTAACAAAATTTTAAGGGGAAAAATATGAAGAAAGTAAAGTTGTACATTATGTGAGTAAATATTCAAAATGTGAGTGTTATATATACATAAAAAATTATATTGTACATATTTATTTACTTAGCATAATGTAACAATTTTCCTTTAGAATTAAGAGCTAGATGCCCATTTTAATCCCAAGATTTATAGAAATGTCAAAATAATCCTCAATTATTTTAAAATTCAGCTCTAATAGTCCTGAGACTATTTCAGCTTCAATTTAAGACTCTAAAACTAATAAATTATTTATTTATGTAGCTTAAGATATATATATATATATATATATATAACAGCGTTTAGTCTCACAAATCATATGCTTAAATATTCACTGCATATTTAATTCAATCATTTAAATATATAAACAGATAGCATAAAATATGTCACAATCAAATCTCTGCGCATATAAAAAAAAAAGAGCATTTACATACACACCACACAATTCTTATGTATTTACATATCTAACACCTAAACTTTAATATTTACATTCATAACACTCCAATCAATAGCATCACATAAAAAACAAACACTTTTTTTTTTTTAAAAAAATGCCACTTTAATGTCAAATGCACATTTTTATGCATAAGTTTAAAGCACCAAAACCTTATAAATATAAATATCAAATTTTAGCCCTTAGATATGTAAATTCATAAGAATCATACCTCACAATTCTTATGTATATACATATCAAATGTTATAAATATAAATATCAAAATTTAGATGTTAGAGCTGTAAATTCATAAGAATTATGTGGCATGTAAATAATTTCCCCAAAAATATTAACAAAAATAAATCTCTGTATAGACACACGTAGATAAAGAGCTACTTTTTCTCCAACTTGGTTATAGCCATGTAAGGCCCATGATCAACACAATAAACAATAATTGCAACTTCCCTTCTTACAATAATTCCTCTTGGAAGGAGAAATTAAGGCCCACTTAAGAACGTTAGCCCAATGCAAAAATTCAAATTCTGTCATAATTTATGAATTTTTATGGTGTTTTTACGGGCCAATCATCCAAAATATTAAATGTAACAATTTAATCACCCAAACATTAAATATTTCATTTAAATTACCTTTTCCATTACAAACACTCTCCTTTACCCACCAGTAACAGCTTTGAATGAAAATTTTGATTATTTAAGATGTTATATTTAAAGTTTGAGGTGATTAAAATGTATTCAATATTCAATGCATTGGGCGGTTGTTTATGTAAAAAGCCCTTTTTTTTTATTGGTTGCAGGAGAAAAGTTACAATAAAAAGATGATTTTGCATGGATTTTGAGCTACATCATTATTTTCAAGCTTTAAAACATTACATACAATTCAATTAAACAGCATAAAATAACATCTTTTCTAAGAGAAGAAGCTGAGTTCAAGCCCTCACCTTTGCTGCAGCTTCTTTGATCTGCTCTATTGTGAAAACACCGAAGAAATCGTCGTCCAAAACTGCATTTATTGCTGCAAAAGCAACATCATCAACACTCAAAGGAGGAGCCAAGAGATCAGAACCAGGAAGGGAGCTTAGGGGCTTGGTAAATCTCTCTGTAGCAAGCAGCAGTCTTTCCAGAGGTTCCCCAATAAGGTCAAGAGGGATCTCAAATCCATTCACTTTTCGCTTCCCATATATGAAAGCAGGTCTTAGGACTGCACCTGAATTTTGAAAATGGAATTAGAAAACATGTTCGATAATTCATATTTGGTTAAAATAGTCTCCTGATTGTTTATATAGGATTATGTAATCCTGGAGTTTATAAAATTAGTAAGTTAATCTACAGATTCTTTTGATAGAGACCGAAATGGTCGCCCTTTTAAAAAATCTGGATACTATTTCGGCCCATATTAAAAAAAAGTATTGGGATTACAATTATCCCTTGCAAAGAGTGAGGGTTAGGGTGAGAATTTGGTCGGTTTGAATAAATCATTTTTCAAATTGGTCAAACCGATTGCAATGTAAATTCAAAATCCGAGAAACCAAATCAAACAAAATTTTGAACAAACCAAAGTACAAATTCAAAATCCGAGAAACCAAGAACAAACCAAAGTATGATTATTCGTCAGAATTTGATTATCGACCACCATTACGAATTACATATTTTACACATATAATATCGATTTGATTTCATAAATCATCCATTTATTTTAATCAAACATTGTACAATATATATATATATATATATATATATATAT